AAAATGATCTGTTTTTCCTTCTCCTGTAAAGTTACCATGTTACCAAACTACGAGCTTCTGTTCAGGGAGAGATGATTTAGAGGTGTCCACATGTACTTTCAGCTGAAAAATGAATTGGTAAATAAATAATTGAACAAATAACTATGTCCGGGTAATTGTCTGATTATCTAAATGAATATCCGGCATGTGATTTCTGCAAAACGGACCTTTTTGATCCTAGTCATGGCCCTGGATTCCGCTATCATTGTGCATCCCCACCAATTTCATTATAGTGTAGGCAACTCACAGTCAGTGCACTCTGTGTTGTGTCAGCCTCTGTGCTACCAACACGTAGGGCAAAAAAAACAAAAAACAATCATCAGCACAAACATTTATGTGCTAATGAGGTGAAGGCAGATGAAAATGATCACATAGTGCTCAGAAACAGGGCCTGCTGCACACCATGTGTACACAGCGGCTTGAAGCCTCCTGTAAGCTGCGAAAGCCTCGCCCAAAACAAAGGAAGTGCTGAAAATTATCATCGCAGAGTGTGGAGTCAAATTAACGTTGTGTCGAGTGGCTCTGGCAAAATGAAAAGATGCAGATGAAGTGCTACAACATGGTTCTTTCCATCTACCTCTCTCTCTCTCTCGCTCTCTCTCTCTTCCTTTTTTTTTGATGGGTACAAACGACTAAATCATGCAGGTGGACGGCTGCGGCTGTGAAGAAGTAAGACAAGGCTTAGTGTTGCCTCAGACATCTGCTCTGGCGGCGGGTTTTGTTCCTGCTCGCCTGCCATCTCCCTCATCCCTCTCATGTCGTTCATTAGCCTGCTGGAACAAACACTTTGTGAGGAGCGCTCTGAAGCTCTCGGCGAGCTCGAGAGCCTTTTGAAATGCAGGTAGGACTGTGGAGCTTTGTAAGGGCTAGATAAAAGCGCAGAGGGCCGAGCTACGTACGTGTTCCAGTGAAATCTCTCACTCCTCATGAACTGAGACTTTTACAGGCAGAAGTCTTATTCCAGGAGCCCTGCGGAGGGCCGTACATGCTGTCTGTTTTGTCGAGGGCTCATGTGACTGATCACTAAAGTCATAATGTACAGTTAAAAAAAAAAAAGTACTGATTTATCTAAATAGTGTTCTTAGTGACGCTTTATTATATATACACACCAAAAAACAGAGCTTTGAATCTGCTTGATTTATTTATGTACAGCTGAATAAAACCTATTACTGTCTTACGGTTTACTTACTTTCTGCAACTCTGTGCTGGTCTAATATAGTCTATTCATGTGCACCCTTAAATCAAGCAAATTCAAAGTACTACTTTTGTTAAGAGTACGAGGGAACAAGCTTTTCTATTTCTTAAGATTTTTACAAGGTCAGAATCTGTTGTGCTTAAATAACTGTTTTGCGCAGCGCCGCCGACAGGAGTCAGAAATTGTGCAGCGGATTTCTACCCGTAAAAATCGCTTCCAATCACCATCACCACAAAGGAGAAGCTTGGGTTGCAAGTGTCTAATAACATAATAGCTTGTGAAGACTAAAATGCACTGGTGGCTGAGCATGACAACCTATGTATGCCTATAGATAACAACTGCTGCCTTTTCTTCCTCTATGTCAAACCAAAACGTCAGGCCTTGCAAGTAGGGGTGGGAGAAAAACAATCGATACAGTATAATATTGCAATATTTTGGGTTTATAGTATTAATACACAGAGGCCCAGTTATTAATTTTTAAACATGCTTTAATTGTTTGACTCTAATTGTTTGATTAATAGTTTACCAAAATGCATTGCTTTCTTAATCCACAAGGTGGTGCTGTTTCTTTCCGTAGAAACAGGCTTCTTTCAGAGAAGTCGGATAGTGTGGTGGATAACACGCTCACCCTACACAGAAGAGAACAGAGTTTGATCTCGCCGTTCAGACAGGAATCAGAACCTCTATAATATTACACTATAACTGACCAATAAGAGTCACTGGGTGAGACTTTTTATGCTACAATCGCCTGATAAAATGCGGTAAATATGAAAGGATAAAGCCTGGTGGAATGTTGTTGGTCTACCTTACAAATAAAAGCATTTGCTCAAAATAGAAAAGCAAGCACAGCTTATTCTGAATACTGTTTTGTCCATTTTAGAGTCCTGTTTTGCTTCGATAAAAAGATTGAAGTGAGACTGAGGTGTAAACCTCACCAGATAAAATGTTCTCTTTTGGAGGAATAATTTGCAGTTCAAGTATTTTTCAATAAATTGCAATATATGTCACTTCACTAATTTTTAAAGTCAATGTGAAACAGACATCAGGTCCTTAACATGAGGTACACTATATGGCCAACAGTATGTGGACATCCCTCCTAGTTACTGACTGTTTAACAGGTGTATAAAATCAAGCACATAGATGTACAATCTCCATAGACAAACATTAGCAGTACACTATTGGTTGTTCTGAAGAGCTCAGTGACTTTAAACACGGCACTGTCGAAGGATGTCACCTGTGCCACAAATCAGTTTGTGAAATTTCTGCCATGCTAGATCTGCCCCAGTCAACTGTAAGTGCTATTACTGTCAAATGGAAGCATCTAAGAGCAACAACAGCTTAACCACGAACTAGGAGGCCAAGCAAACTCACAAACAGGGCGCACTGAGTGCTGAACAGCATAGCCTATCCACTGATACATCACTAACTACAGAGTTCCAAATTGTCCCTAGAAGTAACATCAGCACAAGAACTGTTTGTTGGAAGCTTCATGAAATGGGTTTCCATAACTGCTCAGCTGTACACAAGCATAAGGTCACTATGCGAAGTGCCAAGCGTCAGCTGGAGTGATGTAAAGACACTGCCACTGGACTCTGGAGAAGTGGAAACGTTTTCTAGAGTGATGAATCACATATCACTATTTGGCAGTCAGATGGATGAATCTGAGATTGGTGGATGCCAGGAGAACACTACCTCCTAGAACGCACAATGCTAACAGTAAAGTTTGGTGGAGGAGGGATAATGGTCTGAGGCTATTTTTCAGGGCTTGGGCCTCTTAGTTCCAGTGAAGGGTAAAATAAAGCCATTTTAGAAAATTATATGCTTCCAACTTTGTGGTAACAATTTGGGGAAGGTCCTTTCCTGTTCCAGCATGACTGAGCTTCTGGGCACAAAGTGAGCTCCATAATGATATGGTTTGACGGGTTTGGTGTGAAGGAGCTCTGGTGGCCTGTACAGAGCTCTAACCTCAACCCCACTGAACAACTGAATCAAAATCAAATCAAAATGTTGACTGCGAGACAGGTCTTCTCATCCAACATCAGTGCCTGACCTCACACAAGTGCTCCTTTGACTGAACGGGCACAAATTCCCAGAGACACACTGCAAAATCTTGTGGAAAGCCTTTCCATAAGGGTGGAGGCTGTTGGAGTCACACAGTGGGGCCAACTCCATTTTAATGCCCATGGTTTTGGAATGAGATGTCCAACAGGGTCATATAGGTGAGAGGGTCAAGTGTCCACATACTTTTGGCCATACTGTTTATTTCAGGGTGAAACAGGATATTTGGGTGGGAAATAAATGTGGTGGGACAAGATGTTATACATCTGGATTTGACAGGATTGTGAAAAGCAGGTGTTCCTGATACTAACCTACAGTCAGTCGTGGAGGAGTATTTACCTGCCTAACATAATCAGACAGCAGGAGGAGTTTCAGAGGTGGGCAACAGTGGTTACACGTCTATCAAAGATTATGCAGAAACAAACCTTTTATCTTTTAAAATGATATATGCTGAATCATGCTTCATATGAACGAGGACATGTACTTATAAAATAAAAAGGTCAATTTTGATTTCAGGTTGACTGTGAATATCATAACCGAATAGTATCGTGGCTCATGTATCGCGATACCATCGTACCGTGGGGCCTGTAACAATTCCCACCCCTACTTCCAACAGTGATAAACCGTACTGGGACGCTTTAATAATCCAGATGTATATTGCAGAGCCCACTGACCTGCCACTAGTCTAATATTAGCTTTACATCTCGTCCTGTTTTCTGTAAGTACATGGCTTCTGTCTGACATGTGAAATACAGCTGAATATTTACTGAAGTGCTTTTCATCAAGCTGCCTGCTTTTCCCCACTCCCATAAAGTTCAACACGATGAGTCGGAACATCAAAGTGCTGCCCGAACGCTCCTCTCTGCCCTGCCCCTTGCCTTCTCTGAGTTTCACCTCACTGAGCATGTGCAAAGTCTTGTTTGGATGTCTCAGTAAATTATTCTTCAGTCTTACTTTACACGGAATTATAAATACAGTAGTTACATTGCTTGTTCAGTTTTAATGCTAGACCACTTCATTCTGAAGCCTATGATTGTTCATCTGAAGTCAATATTTACAATATAAATGTCCACACTGGAACACTGGACGTAACATTTAAGTGCCGTTCTTGTTCATTTAGGTCCTAGACAGAAGAAAAGTGTTATATGTTCACTCACCGTCAAACATGGCTGCTAGGCTCAGCGTGTGAGTAATACCGCAGACTGATGCTTTGAAAACACTTTGAGGACTTGTATTTCAGTTGAGGCAACAAGAATCCAAAACCAATTCAGTAGTTTTGAGCTAGCAACGCAAACAACAAAAGAACATTAAATTAAACGTAGGCTTCTTGTTATGTAAAAAAAAAGAACACATTCCCTTCTATGTATGCATTAGTCTCTGAAAAGAGTCCAGTCTGTGGGAGATATTTGTTAAAAGTTCCATTCCAGACCAAATCTGAACACTTGAAGCTGTCTTTCCTCTCCTCTCCATCCGTGCAGATACGCTCGAGTCATTCTGCCCTTTAGAGTCGTATTCAGGGTTCTTTTTCTACAGTTATTACGCCCCTGGCACAGGCAGGGCACCGTGTGCTGGGAAGAAGTGCGTGGAATCATCAGCTAGCCGAGTGTGCAATCTCTCTGGCTCCATGCTGTGCTGTCTCCTGTGAGCAGATGATGGGGGGAGGGGGGGCGTCATCATACAGATGTGCCATTGTTTCCTTTCCTGTTTTTGTCACGAGCGTTATCTGCTTTTTGATGTTTAAACATACAAAATACTGAGAAATATTGCCTTGTTTAACCAATCTGTGCTTTGAAAGATACCTCTCTGGAACATGAACTTTTAGTCATAACTAGGAACAAGAATTATTTTTCCGAAGGTTTGGTTCTGAGGTACTGTCTCTTGGATGTTCTTGCAGGGCCTCGATTTATCCAAGTGCCTGAAACAACATAAAACAACCGTTAGTAACTACACTCACATTATTGACTACATTAAATCTTTTCCATCTGTTTCTCTATAGCAGTGAATGAACATTGTTAATTGTAGCTACAATAACAGCACTTTTCACAGTAAAATACTATATTCATCATTTTATTGTGAAATCAACACAATAACACAGCAAACGACTGATGCTGATGTTGAGTTGTACTGCACAGCATTATGAGATATGATAAATCAAAAAAGGTATACACATTTAATTGAAGTTATTCAGGTATTTTTATTTTGACGATTCACTTTTTAAAGACTTCTTTTGACAGTTTATTGGTTTGGCCAGATGTGAGTTTTTTAATCAGGTTTGTGCAAATTATAAGCAAATGAACGAAACTGAACAAATGTCCATTGATAGCTTTCTTATGTTTATTTTAGTTTATTTTTTACTTTGTTTATATTTTCAAAAAAATAATAAAATTAAAAGTTTCATATTTTTTCAAATTTCATAAGTTTTCAAATTTTTCATAGGTACATTTACTGACAGCTAAATTACTGGCTACTGAGTTGCACCTTTGCAACTGTTAAGGAAAAACATTGGACTGGGTTTCAAGATTAATACTTTTATCATTACCATGATAAAATTTCCATAATGAACACAGCTATTAGTATTTTTTTGGTACTTTGCACAATAATGAATGGCGCTATAGTAATTTAGCTTTTTTGCCAGTTGATTAAAGGAGTGGCTAGTTACAGATTATTTCAGATTAATTATGCAACAAAAAACACTCTGTACTTGCTGAATGCCAAGTCAAGGAGACTATTTTAATCATAATTTATTGCTTCTCTTAATCAGTACAATATCCAACAACTTTACTAAACGTCCATAATGTCTTAACTCGAAACCATCTTAAAACATTTTTAAGGCATCAGTCAGCATATTTGTTTAACATACTAAATGCCTCTGGTTTCTGTCACCACCAATGTGAACAACTCTGGCTTGTTAAGTTTCTATGGAACAGAGCATTTCACATCAAACCACTCTGAATGACTGTTTACATCTTAGCTTTTTCCTTAAGCAGAGTTTGAAAATTCAGCTGAATTCTCCTTTAAGAGGAAGGAGAGGTACCACAACAAATGCAGCTTTCTTAGCAGTAAGGTTTTCAAAGTGACCAAAATGTTTTGTGCTTTGTTTGTTTACCGCAGCTCAAGTGGACGTCAGATCTCCACATTTGGATCTGTGAAGCCTTTCTTGCCTTCGTTCACCAGGACGGGCTTTTCTGTCCGTGTGTGCCAGACGAGAATCTGCAGGTGATCAGAAAAAAAAAAAACAGAAACCACAATTTGTAATACAGAGAGAAAAACAAGAACACTAAGTTCTTGTCTGCTCTAGAGGGTTCTGTAGGGTTTAATTCTTCAGAACGCTCACAGCAAGTAAGTAAATGAAGCTTTTGATTGGGAGTTTCTTCCTCAGCCGTCACCCTCTAACACTGCGGTGCTGTAGTGCTGTTGCTCCACTCCTACTCAGTATCTCTCAGATGTCCACATATGCATGTACTCAGAGCTCTCTGCAGAGGTGTACCAGCTGCAGCCCTTCTCTAAACTCATCATAGTGCTCTGCATGATTACACAGACTACTTCTTTTAGATTTGAAGAGTTCGGATCGAGTTGTTTGTGGTTTGTGTATCTTGTTATGTTCCAACTCTGGGGGATAAAGAGACTCGGCATATTGTAATTAAATCTACCTGCTTATGCACCCTAGATTTGAATTCCCCAGCGCATCTATCAACTACTCGGAGACTATTCAGAAATAATAATAATCATTTATATATATGCACCAGCACGCTTCATTGTAGCTCTTGTAAATATGCACCATCATGCTTTGTGCAAAACGCTTGTTTTTGTCCTGGAGAATAAGCGGCTGCAGCGATCGGGTCAAGGGAGTTACTGATATTGAGCGCTCCGCTGGAGACGGCTCTACATACAGAATATTCATAAAGGACGAGATAACACTCATCTTTCCTCACTCGGCCCCTTTTGTTCTCAGAGCAACAACACTGCAATCCCTCCCTCCCTCCTCCTGCTCACTGGCCCTGATGAATAATGTATAGGTGTGTGGTGCCTGGTCTGCAAGCCCCAAGCACACTTAACCAGGTAGAAGAGGCTGTTGCATTTGATTTCTAAAAAAAGGATAATTGTATGTGTACATATGTGCGTGTGCAGATGTATGCGTGTATACATTTGCTGAAGCATAACCCAGAGTCCTGCTCTCTCCTGCAAAGCTACAGTGCTGTGCAAAAGCCAGAGATCACCCTTTCATTTATTTAGTTTACAGTAAAAACAGCCTTTATGTACAAGGTGTCCATTTTTCTGGAGATATTTCTGAGGATATTAGATGCAAAAAAATCCACAGGCATAAGGAAGAGGAAAGTCAAAGGAAAATAAGTGGAAAAACAGAAAGAATTATTAAACATGCAGAGAAAAAGGACCCCCAACAACAGTACAAGAGCTGGTAGACCACCAAAACTGTCACCATCAGATTGATAGTACTTAAAGGAGAATTCCACTGATCAAAATTTAGACAGTGGTGGTGATAGGAACCAGAGGTCTGAAGAATTCAGTGCCACCAAAAGCTTCGTCACATGGCATGATAAGTTTTCCTCCTGATGCCTGAAACACTGTTTTACGCTAGTTTTGAGATAAACATGTGGTCTAAAAATCTTTCACAATCCAGTCATAACAGGAGGTACATACAATTGTACTATGAGGCAAAAAAGTCCCCAAAGAAAACATTTTTCTCATTTACCGCTATTTTACTATCATCAATAGTACATATAAACACTCAGAAGACGTGTAGGATCACCGGCCATTTTGAATAGCAAATTAAACAGTTACATTTGTGTTGTAGACATCCCGTTTCCTATCACCACCACTGTAAAGAAATCCGAGTCTCTACAATGAACCACTTCCAGATCAAACCACTCTGGAAGACCGTTTCCATCTCAATGACTGAATTATGTAGAAATTTTGAAAAATCAGTGGAATTCCTCTTCTTGCTTCTGACAAAGACAACTCAGCACTATGGGTCTGAAAGGATGTGTAGCTGTCAAGAGGTCCTGACTGAGAAAAGGAAATGGACAAAAAGAACATTTGCAAATTAAATAAGCTGCTGTTGTACACTACTGTTCAAAAGTTTAGAATCACTGTTTTCAATAACATAAAACCAATTTTGTGGCAGATGGGTGAAAGACATGGCATGCATGTCAGTCCACTATTTTCCTATAAAAGTAATGTAATAAATGCATATTACATTATTCTACAACACCTCCTTTATATGAATACGTTTCCAGTGCATCCAAATAAAACTCATTTTAGGTATTTATGCCTGCCACAGTCGAAAACTGATGTAGTTATATCAATTTTTGAATTAAAAAGTTGGGCTCTGAGCTAGCTGAGCATTGTCTCTCAATGATAAAAGGGGGGGTGGGAGGGGAAGAAAACATTTCTTATAATTGATTATAATTATTGGTGTCTAATGGTGCACGGTGACGTAATTAAAAATCAGAAAACATTTTATGGGTGGGCAAAAGTCATTGCATTTTGGTTCAACAATATGCAAAAACAAGAATTTACCTTTTGTCTTTTAAATGGTGTGGTAAGAATTGTGCTTAATATATACAGGAACATGAACTAACACAACAAATAAAAAGGTTCATTTTAATTTCAGGTTGACAGACACATGCATTCCTTACTTTAGTGCAATTGGCAGCTTTAGGCTCCAGATCGTTGAGAGTGACTAGCTCTCTGAGGAGGCTGCTCTCCTGGTAGCCCCCCTTGACCCCCCGCAGCTTGAAGTAGGCTTGGGGTTTGAAAAGGATGAGCCGCAGGTTGATGGCGAAACCTGCCATGTCAATGGCGAAGGGCCGGTGGGGGTCAAACACTGTTTTCCATCCATAGACCTTGCCAGCAGCGTTGACTTTGGGTGACTCGTACCGCAAACCTCCGACGAACGCCACAGGCCAAACGGAGACCTTACGAGTGGAGCGCATCTGCAGAGAGAAAGAAAAAGGGTAGGTGTTAAACAGTGTGAATGTTTTCATTATTTACAGATGAAGAAGTAAAATGCTTGAGTTTTTTTGCATTTATTCTAGAAGACTAGCCATGAACAGGCAACTTTAATACGTTTTAGCATGACAGGGGTTTGTTGTTGGTGTTTTCTGCAGGTGCTATAACCTGCTGTCTGTCCTTGCTAGCGAGCTCTATCTTTTTGAAACGTTTTCGACCTAATGGCTGAAGTGGGCAGCCTGTGCACAGAGCCCATTAGGAAGACCCAGGAGGCACTCTGCTCTCTGGGGAGAGGTGAGACAGGCAGACCTTACACAAGAACAGAGTGGCAAGAGACAAATGTAAGCCGGTCATCTGAGGAAATCAGGCTGAGAGAGAGAGAGAGAGAGAGAGAGAGAGAGAGAGAGAGAGAGAGAGAGAGAGAGAGACACTGAAGAGAGAGAGGCATTCTGTAATCTTTCTGTTTCAAAACATTCATCCAAGCTTTCTGTGTGCCACCCAACACAAGTGGTCCACAACATAAAAGGAAGCTGGCTAATGAATGGTAAAAGGGGACTGAGGGGTGAAACAGTTGTATCTCTGCTTGCACTTAAATGCACCAACCATTGGTGCAACCAAAGAAGCTCCTGTAAAGGGCTGAAAAAAGGGCCCCACAGTGCTGACACAGCCTATAGCAGTATACTCCACAACCTACTACTAATTTACAACAAAACACCAATCCGATGCTTATATGAAATACGACTAACATTTAATGTGTGATGATTTCATTTCAGTATTACAAATTGCAAAAATTAAATGTTCTTCAGTACAAAACACTGTACTGAAATGTAAAACTGTACAACTAATATGCCCCTCAGTGTCTAATGAAATCCCAAAAGTAACTGAAAAATGCTCACATGAGCAGGCTTGCCTAGTAAGGGTTCAATAATACCTCATAAAATTTGATGTCAAGCATCAAGAAGAACATTATGAGCAAGCATATTGTGCAAAATATAGAGCGAAGCAGAGATCGTCTAATAAAGTGACGGCAGGCCGGCAGACCTCCACAATTGTGGAGCCCACAATTTCTGCCAGAAAATAAAAGCTTAAAAAGTAAAAACTACACTATTACAGATAATATTTTACAATAGGATTGTCAACAACCAAATTGGGACGCAAACAGGAAAAACCTAGTTGTCAGCTACATTTCAGGCACAGCTTACTCAATAAATGAAAACTGACAGCCATGTGTCAGAGTCTTCTGAAACTGCTATTTGTCTGTGTACACAAATACACTGAAAACAAGAGATTTAACCCTGCAGAGCGTTTTCAAAAAGCTCGGTTTTTAGTGATCTAAAACGTCACTTTTGTGTGGATGGGAGGCTATTACCTTTTCAAAAATAAAGATAAGTCTAAATTATGCCTTAGTTAATGCTTAATGTAAATGTTGTACACATATTTAAATGGGCTGTTGTGACATGTGGATATTGCGGTGGTGGCCTAATGCTGCATGTAGGTTTTATATAAGGCGGTTCTGTTTTTGGTTGTATTTTTTATAGGATAGCTGCACTGTTTATATCAGAATCAAGACATTAATACATAAAAATGTATAACTAATAGAACTTTGACCTCAGAATCAGAAACCTGAAAATGTGTGTTGTGACAACCCTAGCAATGATTTGACACTGTATTAGAAGTATAATAGAAATATCTTATAGAACTGTTGTCAGCAAGCCCCTTTCACTGTATCTTATAGTCTACCCTTCATTACCATAATCATACCATAATAATCTCACATCCACTGGAGGATCTTTCTCCAGAATCCTCTACAAGGTTCCATTCATTTCTCCGCAAATGATACTGCACTCTATTTTCCATTCAAAAAAGCATCTTCCCCGCAGCTTTGATAAATATATATAGCGCTTAGAACATGCATATAGTTCTTCTGCGAATGCTGGTGAATCCTGGCCAACATCCATCTTGCTTAAACGAGCAGTCCAAGGGGAGCGCTGGCAGTGGCGGGCTGGCCTAGTTTTCTGTATATCAGGCTGCTTTCCCATTCGCCTCCCGTTGCCTCTCTTTAAGCTGCGCTTTCTCTTCTGTTTTTGTGCAGTCAGAGATGAGAGCAACACGACGAGCCAGAGCTGCACTTCTGAAGTCAGGGCGCAACAAGGGAGGCAAACAAAGGGGAAAACTTATACACACACAAGAATCATGCCGGAGAGTCAGAGAGGGCGAGGCGGACTTTGACAGAAACAGCAAACGCAGTGTACTGAGGTGGATAGCCATGAGCATCATCAGCAACAGAGAGTTAATGGCTTTGCAGAATAGTGACCCTGCCAGAATAACAGAATATGATGCAGGTTATGTTCAAGTGTGATGATGGGGGATTAATGGTTCTACTGGTTCACCACTTGAAGCCAGTCTGATTTCATCAGAGCAAATTAGCCCACTGTCAGGTATTCAAGGTTCATCTGAGCAGGGTGAATTACTGGTGAAGAATTAACTTATTCATGCTCCACCAACAAATGCTGTTGAATAAGCTTTACAAAAATCTGTCTGCGCTTCCTCGTGCAGGCTTGCTGCTTGTTATGCTGTAGCAAAGGTGGAGAAACCAGTTTAAAATGAGTGTTTAAAATGTTTAAACTATATTCACATGAAAAACACCCACATGAGCTGGGCAGAACCTGTAGTGCACCCTGTCATTACACTTATGTCTTGGCATCCAGACTTCTGCCTATCATTAAAGAGTGTCTTTTGTCCCTTAATATGACCAAGACCATGCAATTTGACAGGAAAGGCCATGTGATCGACATGCAAAATAACCAACCACAGATGCTACTGTTTTAGCATGATTGGTAGGGGCAGGCAATAAAAAGGCACTGCAACCAAAACAAACCCGCAGTAAGCGCTTCAAAGAAAACATACATGAATAACTTTGAAAGATTTGATGCTGTGGATTTCACAAACACTTCAATCCAGCAGCTGTTGCGCTCCCAAAAACTCAGTCATGGTGCGCTGTGTGGGCAACTGCTTGCAATGGTGTGGTTCCCACTGGACTGATAAAATCTGCATGGAAATGTGTAGAGAAGGCGGTGCAGATAGACAGTTGGAATGCAAGTGACAAAATCTTGATTGTTGCGACCAGCCTAACGTTTAGTAGATGCTTCATTTGTGGAGTCTGAGGCTGAGATTAAATTCAACCGAACAACTGCAGTTATCTTTGTTTGCCACAAAAAAACAAAATCAGCAAGCACTAAAGTCTGTACGCTTGTGTGAGGTGGATACATTTTTGCAGACAAAAAGAAATGCAACACATTCCACATGACTGATCAGGTGCTTCTGTTTTTGCCTGGCCATACAATATAAAAATGTGCAACAGAGGAACTTTTTGAACTCTGAATTAATGTAAAACACAGGTTCCCTGCACGGTTTTGTGTTTTCTTGCTGCAACATACCCACCTCAGCTCAGGAAGGATTTTTACTGACCAGATTATTTGGATCAGGTGTACTCTGAGACCAGGGCTGGGAACCACTGATGTAAACTATTGTTTTCATTCAACTAAACTGAAACGGTGCTTTGCATTGTTTCATTCAAAGTGTTTGAGTTGAATAAAGGTTGTTCTGACAAACCACTTTCACAGTGTACCTAAAAAACATGACACAGGTACTAAAAACTAATGAAAACATTAAAACGGCATACATTGTCAAAAGAAATAAATGAAATGGTAATATTAGATGGTAAACAGACAAGTTGTCTGACGCTGATCAATGGAGATTGCCTGAGCCGTTACGTACACCAATGCACAAGAGTGCATCTCTGCACTCTTACGATGTTAAATTTAGCCATGAACTTAAACAAAACTAGAATCTGCACAACATTAAATATTTCTCTGTAGACTCGCTCTATATTTCTCAGAAGTACTTATGAAGAAAATTGATTTTCCTGGCTAATGTGACCCTTTACATGAATACAATACTAAATTTCAAACTAATAATTAATTCGATCTAAATTGTTATTTTGAAAAAGTACTCTTAAGTTGAATGGAATTTTTGACAGCATACTGTCAAGTACTGTGCAATGTACTGATTCAATGGGGTGTGTAACTGAGCTGATCACATAGCTATGCTCTTCTCCCAGCAAGATGAGAAATGTGGAAAGAAACCCCCAAAGGACTGCTATTATTATATATTACGATATTGGGAGAGTCCTGAATAGGAATTGAAGAGAATATTTGGGTAAAAAACACAGACGCAGTACACAGAAAAAAGAGAATTCATGTTCTCTCTCTCCTTGGTTCTGTGTATAGAGGCACGCTGTGCCCAGGTGTTGCAAGTGTTTCAGATAGCCCAGCAGTGTGGGAGGAGGAGAGGAGGAGAACATGGGATAAAAATAGAGGAGTGCTGTAAATAAGCCTAGCTGTAAGACTGCCTACATAAGCAGTTTTAATAAAAGCTCGTTAATTAATACACCTAGCATAGCAGTGTTGTTTTGAACAGAGGCATGGATACACTTACTGTGACAGAGAGAGAGAGGGACAGAGAGAGAGACAGAGAGAGACACACATCCTCTTGTTTACTCATTTCAGAAGACTCACATGTCTCACTAACATGTGACATAAGGTTTTAGGTTTAGGATTAGGACTAGGACTAGGACTGAGTTTCAAAATTCAGGACTGTAGTTTATATAAAACAAAGTTTTACTGAAACTTATGTTTACCACATATTATTAGCCAAAGTTAACAAATATATATGACCTGCCTTGACCTAGTCTGAAATTCATATGCATGCATGCAAGCTTGATAATGTAACAAGAACCCTTCTTGGTGTATAGAACCATTTTCAAAAGGTTCTCCATAACGTGCACAAGCCTGAAGCCTGTCCTTATGCATTCCCATTTTTATGTGAAGAGCAACGTGCTAGAGTAACACAAGGACAGAATCTTTCTGCCTATTAAATGTTACAATGGGAGCTTTTCTGTTTCTGCTGAGTCTATTCAGCCTGTAACATACATAGAGATGGTGAATGGGGTTGTAGGAGAACAGGCAGTGTTCAGAAATGGGGCAGCAAGGGTGCGTTTACAACTTGCATAATCGTGCATTTTCAAAAAGCTTTATATTTTTAATGAGTGTTGGTGTTAAGGGATGCTCCTTTGTCATTTTTAGTAGTTTGTAGGGCATAACAATAATACATTTAATATTTAACAATTTATTATTAAACAGATGTTTTTTTCTGTTTTAATTTATGACTTTACGGGTACTTTAAATTTAACAGTATCAATTCAGGAATCAGCAGTCAGGTCAAGGTAGCAGTATTGAAAATTCTGAATGATACTGAGCCTTATTGGGGGTAAATCAGAAACTGAAATAAAATATAATATAATGTCAGCAAAACTACATTTATCTCTTCATTTAAGTTATCCTGAAACCATATAATCTAGCCTGTACTGTAAGAACACAATGACAAGAAGCAACACTGTGGCACGACTATACCCAAGTCTTTTCATTTCACTGAACTAGGCTCTTTTTAAATATGTCTGTGGAGATACGGTGCCTCATTGTACACGGATACAGTCTTGTTCAGCAGTCGCTATTTTTCACAAAATTTGTACAAGACTGTGTTGACCTTCTCTCCCATTAGCTAGGAGCTTTTAGTCAGCGTCTGTAATGAAGGAGAGTGGTTTAATGTCAGCTGGAGAAGAAGGCCCAAGCCTTTAAAGCCTTTAACGATCAGTAAGTGAAACAACAGCAGAGCCTCAAAGAGCTTAGCCACAAAGAGGCTCTGAAGTGACAGGGGCTGTCTGGGTCAAAGCATGATGGGTGATCCCAAGACAAAGGTAACGACAGTGTCGTCAATACAGCACTGAGAGCCATTTACTCAAGCTCCATCTACAAACAATAGCATATCTTACGTCCATGGGTCACCTATAATCTGTTTGGCTAATGGACTTTAAAAGCATCTTGTCTCAAGACCTGCTGTCTACGTTGAAACGCTAAACAGATGTTTAGAGATTTAAAACATTGTTTTGGAGGTTAAAACAGTGTGAATAGGTTGAGATTAGGGGTTGCACACATTAGTCCACGAGTCTGAGCTGTGGGCAAATGTCAATTAGTTCATAACAGTGGTGAGTATGAAGGAGGAGAGTCCTGAAAACACAGTCTGTAGTACTTGATTAGTAAGGAAACACTACAGAAGATGACAATTCCACTGCAAGCTGTGCACAGCTATTCTGTAATATAGTCTCCTAAAGGGGGCTTCCACCATTTTAAACGTCAGAGTGGTTTGATGTGAAATGCTCCATTCTAGAGAAACTATCCGAGTGCAAACTGTTGACAGTTGTGGTGACGGGAACCAGACGCTGAAGCGTTTAAGTCTTCTAAAAGGTTCCTCACTGAAATGTGTTATATTAAGTGGTTACAAACACTGTCTTGTCTGACAGTTGCAAGCTACTATCAAAATGCTCTTCACTGATGTCCAGATCACTTTTCTTTCAACTTTTTTTTTTTTTTTAAACTTAAAACAGTAACTTAGTGTATTTTTTTCTCTCTCTCTCTGTACAATGTATGCAAATTCTGGTTAACTTGTGGTAAAATTACATTCCGTTAATTTTCTAAATGAAATAAGTTAACATGCCCTCTACAGAGAACACATTTAAATATGGCAATAAAAGCATAAACAAACAACAAAATTTACAAATACACACAATTTTCATTTTGAAGACTATGTATCAGCTACATATTAATAAGCACTAAGGGTTTTTTTTTATTTATTTACAGGCTTAACATGTGTCTGTCTTTCAGAGTGATGTTTTTGCCCCTGTGAAATTATATACCATTACATAAATGTATATAGTGAGCAGATTATATATAAAATTATATATAAAATCAGATGGTGTGATTTGCTGCCTGCCTAGGTTTATCCTGGCTAGACTCGAATAACACATTTTATGGGATTATTGACAGCTGAAAAGATCAAACTGCACTCCTCTTAAATACAGCCATTTCTTCTGACTGTATTTCAGTAAGGTTTAAGCTAGCTTAATGACCGCAGAGCACTTCACAGTATATTTCTATACATCAGAATACCTGAGAGAATACCTCTCCTCCACCTCACGCACTTCATGTTAAAATGTTTTTAGTACTAATCTCTTAAGTAAATATTAGATGAATCAGTAGTGTAACTGTAGTATTCTTTCAAATTAAGCGAAAACAAATTCAGCCAATACAACTTTGCTGGTTATGTACAAAAGCTAGCTTCATGCTCTTGCTGCTCACTCACACTTTTCCCCATTCACTCCAAAGCAGTATTCATGTAATGGTCAAATTCAAAGCATGCTGTTTTTTTTTATTTAACAAAAATGAAAAAAAAGCTGAATATGAAAATACTTTTATAAAATGGTCAAAATATATGGTATATGGACACCTCCCAAAGTATAACACTGTAAGGAAAAAAATAAAACGTAGCATATTAAATGTGCACCAACTTTTGCACAGGTTAATTTCATGATTTCCCCCCACTAACAGGTTAAATGAACAGCAGTTGTACATAAGATGTACAGAGGTGTGTTAACTGTAGAGGACTGATTGATCAGCAGTGTTTGCATATGACTGTTTATCCACAATATGCTCATAAAAGCATAGTGTGACATACTGTGTGGTAATTTATCATGAGAACGATAAATATCTTCCTATTTCCCACTCTCATGCAACCCCTAGTTAAAAATCTTAACTTGCCTCCTCAAAAAGCTCCAGGCTGTATGTGTTATCGTCATCTGCGAAGTAGACAATGCCAGTCTGACTGCTGTTTGGGCTGAAGGTCTCTCTGAGCCATCTCAAAGCCAGGTTCCTTTGCATGGTGCCCCGTGGGATCCTGGGGTCTCGCGTGTCTCCTCTCAGCTTGTAGTTGCGTGGGGTCTCCACGTTGAGGTGTGTGTAGTTTAGCCCTGTCTCCCTCAGCAGCCTCGTCACCAGTGGGGTTCTCCTCTGAGAGTCCTCCACCAGGATCCAGTGCAGGTTGGGCACATGGAGGAAGGTGTTGGCCAACCGTGTGAGCTCAGCTTTCTGCACTGGCCGGCTGTACGTAGGGGTGATAACATGGATGGTGGGCAGCACGTCGGACCACGGTGGTGGTCTAGTGTAGACGTACTCGGTGCGCACCACCTCCACTATGTCCTTGTCGGGGGAGCAGTACTCCTTGGAGTCAGTGGCAGGACCTGCCTCGCGCCGGGCTTCCGCTCCATCATCTACAGGGCAGAGAAAGAGAATTAAGACATTAGCACGCCCCAGGGCAGCTCTCTCTATGTGTGACACATGCCAAAAACCCAAAAGGAGTACCTGCCAGACGCTGCCGCTGGACCATTAGCCACTCTGGTATGATAAAGATCTCTTTTACTAGATGGTGACAGGCTGGAAAGAGTGAGAGCAGGCACCGTGAGAGGGCAACATGGCCGGAATACAGCGAGAAGACCCTCCTATTCAAACGCACTGCAACAGCACCGCCGCTGCTGCATTCAACTCCACTCATCTTTTCACCATTAGCTTTTAGAGAGCATTATGAGATGGGCCTTAGTCCAACAGGTATAGAGTACAAATATACAATTCTGGAGTAAGATAATAGGTTTCCATCTGTGTATTTTTATGAATTTTTTGACAAACTGAATAAAATTGCCAAAATCATCATAGACACTATAAGCTTGTTTGCCAATAAATTATAATGGAAACGTATTTGCTGATGTAAATGATAATGATGCAAACGCAAATAAAATGCAACAAGACTGAACAGTGTTTTGATTTTGACTACAAAACACTGCAGAAGGTGGCAGGTACCAGTGAACTGATGACTAAATTAAAATGTACCTTTATCTTATATTAAATAAGTAAGTAAGTAAGTAAGTAAGTAAGTAAGTAAACAAACAAACAAAACAAACAAACAAACAAACAAACAATACATATTACACAGTAAACACCTGCCACCAAGTAATGGACATTTTCTGAGAAGCTTGTTTGTGTCTTACATCATAAGATCGTAAAATCTAGGCATAAAAGTAAACAAAACATCACCGAGAAGTAAAAGCTTCTAAAGCTTTTGTACAAATGAGTCAGATAGACTTTTACTCTCTTGTACAAAGCTGATGGAAACACCATGTTAATTTGTAGTATTTTCCAAATCCCAGTTATTCGCTCGAATTTAATTTGAAAGCTGGACGAAAACCTGGCTAATGAGCAGGTGGGCACCAAATCAACAGGTTTTATGGCCAATTCTCGATTTCTTTATTAGCTATTTTCTAAAGCAGCAGACAGCAAAGCCAATTAGCTCTTTATCTGATGTTTGCACTTTGAATATAAAACACATACAGAACTGTGAAAAAAGTCAGAGACCAACCAGTCAAAATGGCCATTAGTATTAGAAATTTTTCAGGAGATATTTCTGAGGGGAACAGATAATTCACTTGAATAAGAAAGGGGAATTCAAAGGAAAATTATTATTATTAATAAAAATATTTTTAAAAAGAGAGAAAATGGGATCTTAACAACTGTGCAAGACCCTGTAGACCACTAAAACTGCCCCCATCAGATGGACAATCTTTCATCTTTCATTTTCGTTTAAGAGAAAATCAAGTTGCTGGTGTTCTCAGAACAATGGACTGGATTACTTGAATCATAAGAAGTAGAAAATGCAACCAACTTTTAAGACTAAACTGTGGAGGTGTGGAAAATTTGTTACATAGATTGGCCAAAATAAAAAAAAATAATCTGACTAAATATTAGGAGTGAATATTGGCCGATTCTGATCCTCCACAATTCTGATTCTGTGCATCCCTAACATAATAAGCGCATTGGTTACACTTATAATAATAAGAGACAAGACTGTGGAATTCTCTCAGCGTGAACACACTGATGTCTCATTAAGGAGACGAATGTGGTCTCTGATGGTGACACCCACTATCACAGGTCTTTATCACTGCTCTCTTAATGCCCTCTTCTCACTTCAAATGGAATGAAACTTTCACTTCACATCCATTAGCATACTCCACCAACAGCCCAGCTGTTTGCTGCCTATAAGCTGCTACAAAGGCCTGTTACAGTGCAATGACAAGCTGTTAACATGCACCACACAACCCTCTCATCAGGAAGAGGGTTTTTAAAAAAAAAAATAAATAAATAAAAAAAAACACCCACCACACACATTTGTCACATCCATACAGACGAATCTGTGGAACTTAGTCGTATGCAAAGGTTTGGGCGCCCCTGATTAAGTTGTTTTGTTGATTTAAGTTAAAATAAATTAATACATTCTCTACAGAGACAACACTTCTGCACGATTAAATGCACAAATACTGTTTATTTGCTGAATTTAACATACTGGGGAAAACATAAAATGGGGATTGTGTATAAGTTATGGCACATATTTTAAACTCAAATAAATAAATAGAAAGTGAGCATAAAAAGTTGACGGAAAATGCCATATTAAAATTCTCTGTAGAGGATGTGTTGCCTTTTTTTCACTTAGAAAATCAACAATTTATGTAATTTGACCAGGGGTGTTCAAACTTTTGCAGACAATTGTATGGTTTGGCATATGATGCAAACTGTGAAACTCCCTCCCAGAAGACATACGGCAAACATCCTTAGTTAGCAGTTTTAAAACACAGCTTAAATCATATCTTTTTGCTTTTGATAGTCTACAGTTTTATTTGTATCACTTAGGTGTTAATTTTGCTAATTTTATTCAATTTTAAAAAAAGTTTTCCTGACGTACAATTTCTTGTTTTAGCTCATTTTATTTTTTAGCATATACATATACACATATATACATACATACACATACACACACACACACACACACACACACACATACATACATACATACATACATACACACATACATATACACACACACACACACACACACATATATACACACACACACACACACACACTATATATATATATATATATATATATATAGTATACTATATTAGCATTTTTATTTTTCCTTCTTTTCCAAGGTTTTATCTTCTCTATTTTCTATTCTGTCTCTTATGCTTACCTTTATTTACCCTGTAACTTTGAGCTGCATTTTAAATCAAAAGTGCTACATACATAAATATTTTTATTTTACTATTTGTGAAATCTTCAGCCCAAGTTCAAATCACTTAGTATTAGTAGTGCGACTCAGAGCGTGAGTGCTGTAGTCTGTGTTCGCAATGTAGCACATAACAAATCAATCAATATGGATAGCAAGAGATCAAGAATCCTGCTCTGAGAATACATGCCCTGATCATTTGACAAACTGTTTAAGAGCAAATCCAGACGGATCAGTGATTACACTTCTGATTACAGAGCACTGCTACTGTTCAGCTGCTAAAAACAGATCAGCTTATTGACTCTCAGCCTGAACAGAGAAGAAGGCTATTTAGATTTCAGTCTCGTGCGTAAAAAAAACAGACCTATGACAAACTTGAAGAAATTGTGCTATTTCATAATACAGGCCACTACTCCCAAAACAGGACTAAAAATGCTGCACGATTGAGACTGAAAGAAAATAAGTAACCGGTTATTACAAGAAAGTACAGACATTACTTCTTTTCACAGGAACCTGTCTGTGTACTTCTGCATTCTTTAAAAATCATATTTCATATTTTAATGTAAATTCAGAGGCTTATTTAAAAAATCTACTTTATACAATTTTATTTATTATATATATATATATATATATATATATATATATATATATATATATATATATATATTATATATGCACACACACACACACACACACACACACACACACACACACACACACACACACACACACACGAAATCCAAACTTGGAATAATACACTTGTAAAAGAAAGTTATCTTAACAAAGGAAAGCTGCTAAAACTATTTTTATATACTGTAAATACTGCAGACATTTACATAACATGAAAGTAACTAGTTTTGGCTGAAATCAGAGAAGTAAAAGGTACCCTTTCGGATGGCGAGCAGGGGGGCGATAGCGCTCTGGTGCCACACAGTGATGAGCAGGGTCCACGGTAACACGATTAACACGATGGCAAGAATGTCTCTTCTCTTCGGCATCTCCAGGGTTGGTTCTATGCCTGGTCATTACTTGGAAGAGGGAGTTAAAGGCTATTAGAGGGAAAGAAGAGAGAGAAAGAGAGGCTGTAAGTGAGGGATAAAGGGTTTTAATGCGGCCCTGCTAAAAGTGCGGCTCTGTGCTGAGCATAATTCTGCATGTCAGTTCTGTTTATTGCTTCTAAACATAAACACTTCATTTCCACACATACTATCAGGCAAGCTAAGGGATCTGTCTAAACGTTCATCTAGCTGTTACTAAGCCTCCATCTGTTTAAGTGTGTGGAGAAAAGAAAGGCACTGTTATATCTGAGGACTTGTACATTTTAGGGCTATCATTACTGATTATGTTAGCACTATCAATACGACTAATCTTAGTTTTCTTTAATAAAGGCCCAACAATAAAAAAAATAAATCGACTTAAATTAAAAATATTTTAATAAAAAACCAACAAGGATGTCTTTGCAACACTACATAAAATATACAACAAATACAGCTGTATGCAAAAATTTGAACACTCCCAGTCAAATCACATGTTTAAGTTCAACTACATACAAATCCTCCACAGGTAACAAACTTTGCGCATGTTTTAAAAATTTTAGTGAACAGTTTCTATTTATTAGCTGTGTTTGACATTGGAAAAAATAAAATTATTTTTGCACCAGGTGCAAAATTATGTTCTTTCTTCACAATACACTCAATTCACAAATAAACAGTAAATGCTTTTAAGTGTGTTCTCTGTAGAGGATGTATTAACTTATTTAAAATCAAGTAATGTGTTTTAATCGAGCAATTGTGAAATTTAGCACATTTAGGTCAGAGGTTTCACTTTAGGGCTCTAAATAATTCCCTGTTAAAGGATCTGGGAAAACAGAATTTTTAAATACATTTGCACAATATTATTAAATTTGAAAAACAAAGTTTGAATGAAAAAAGATAGAAATGTAATAAAATGTTACTTAAAATTGCCAATCAGATCAATCTAAGAGCTGCCTGGGTGTGACCTAACAATTCTAATGAGTGCATTTTATTGACATCCCTTTGTCCAACACTCCCTGCTTGCTATGCTACCAAAGCAGAACTAAAACAGCAAGAGCGAAGAGGGAGAAATGAGTGAAATGGGCACGACTATGCTGGTGGTGTTGTAGACTCAACCGTGTTTGCTCACTAAAAATGTTCTCCAGCTTTTATGTGGCAGCGTCTTAAAGAAAGTAAGGTTCTTATTCACTTTACTGTTGGATGTGCATCTAAAGAATGTAAGCACACAATGTTAACATGGCTGGGTGGATTTATGAACAGACAACAGGCAGACAGATGAGCTACCTTTGTTATGCTTGGTGGTGAGCTATCAGTCGGTAAGTTTCTCTGACTCGAACAGACAGACAGACAGACAGACAGACAGACAGACAGACAGACTATTGGGGAACGCACCATTTTGTTAAAGCTGTGTGGGCAGGAAAAGCCACACTGGTGAGGTTATTTGCTAAGTGAGGGTAAAAATCAGCCATTTAGCAAATACCGGAGTTTTTTCACAGGGCAAACCTTGTACATGCACATTGTGTCCACAGGAGCCAGATTAACCTAATACATATCAGGCTCCCTGGGGCTTTAATGAGTTCCTCAACTCTATAGTACGCAGTAAATCAGGCCACTGACTGACATCAGAGCATGGGATATGACATCACTTACTATGTTCAACTATGGCTTCCAGAGATGTCAGCATTAGTTTGATGACTAACCATGAACAGCAACAACATCACTCAGTGCCTGCCAGACAAAGTACATGCAAATGGGGTTGTTTTGACCGAGTGTGTCTGTAGCATCTTCTCACCTGTGGTTATAAGTGCTGGACAGGTGTATGTTTAAGGTGCAGCTGCAGAGGCTGCTTCCTGGGGATCATGCAGCAAGTCATCACTGCCCAGATCATCTCATACAGCAGATCACAAAACCTAAAATGCACACAGCACAACACACAATGCCATTTTAGTCACTAACACTTATCAAAATATTCCACATTATAACATTTTCAGTATCCAGTCATCTTAGTTTTGTATCTATTTTCCATAGGAACTGAAACACGAGTAAAAGTGAACATATTGGAGAGTCACTACTTTCTATTTCTGTGAATATTTATTACACACTAGCTCAAAAGAAAAAAAAAAAGGTCAATTTTTGCACAGGCCACATTTTGTGTTTCATTTTTTTCCACCATGTTAAATTCAGTCCAAGACTTTGCATGTAACTATACAATAAGTTGTACAATGTTAATGTAAGTATTACAAGCTTTTTGCCAAAAAAGAATGAGGTTTCATTCAATATTTCAAGAATCTCTGAACAAGAATAGAATAAGATGCTCTACAATATAATTACTTGTTTAGGTTTATGTTATCTGCCTTGAAATGTAGGCTACACTGTTGAAATACGATGAATTATGAATTCCAGAACTTAATTCTTGACGTTAAGCAGCTTTTTTAGTCATTTGAGAATCTTCTACATTTTTCATTCATTGTCCAGGACACATTAAATTTTATTTACAGCTTCCTACCATTGCACATTAGTCATTTTATACATTTATCTGCAATCAAATTGGTCACACACACACACACACACACACACACACACACACACACACACACACACACACACACTATATATTACATACTGCAGTAGTATGTTTAAGTGTATTTAGAATATTTAGCCCACCAAAGCTGAACCTGGCTCTGACTCTGATAATTCATACTGTTTATAAGAACAGAAGAATCACACAAGTCAAAACAAGGTTGTGTCTAGTTTCTTCAAAAAGACAACAAATGAGGCTGATACAAAACATTTAGCACTGAAATACATCTAGACACATACATATGAAAGGCGGGGATGACACTGTGCCTTGCAGCAAGCCCGTCTGTGTGCGTGTGCACGCGCTACAGTGCAAATGTTGGTTGACTACAGATGCGACAGTGTATTTTTAGCTATTTTTGTGGAGGGAGATGAAATGAAGTGGAGAGGAAGTTGTTGTTGTTTAAACAGGGGAACAGCAGAGTCCCTCTGGTTAACGCTGAGGTACGGCAGGGCTACGTACTGACTCTCGGTACAGCACAGCACACTTTAGTGAATTAAGACAAATTCCGTTGTGGTTAAAATGTCTTAAAGTATAACTGCTGGGAATGTCTGGAGAAGCTGCCCATAGTTTGGGTCAATCAGGGGTTACTGAAAACAGCACAGGCCTCAGTTTACTAACAGAGATTAATGGTATTTCAAATTCGGGATGCAGAACCGGAATCGACAGCTTTTTGCCAGAATACACAATCAGGCGATTTATTAATCTGATTTTGAATTTGTGACGCACTGAATGTGAGGAAGGTAAGGGCACCAGCTCTGTCTCTGAACGTTGCTGCTCCACTTCAAACCGTCATAGCATACAGTGATGTGCAAAAGTTTGACCACTTACTGTCAAATGATGTTTTGTTGATTTTCTAAATGAAAATAAGTTAATAAGGGAATAAATATATGGGGAACAAACCTAAAACATGACGTTTTCTCCAATTTGCTAAAACAGCTATTCACCACTTACTTTCAACAAAGCACATTTGATTCATGCTATTTGAAAAGGCAAGTGACTTACATGGAGCCCCTAAGGCGACATGGTGATTATTTTTCAATAAGGTGTGGCCACAAATTAATATATTGAGGCCATGAAATACTAGGCCTGTGTTGAGGCCCACAATTTGCCCTATTGAGACTACAATTTAGTATACTGAAGCCACAAATTACTAAACTGAGACCATGAATTAATACACTGACAACACAAACTGCTATACTGATGCAATGAATTACCCAACTTTACTATGTTGAGGCCACACAGCCTCAATACATTAATTCGTGACCATGCTTTATTAAAAAAATTATCACTGTCAACTTGGGGGCTCCACATATTTAAAACGAGTAAGTAAAATAGCAAATAAAAATGTTATTTATATTGCCATGTTGGCTGATAAATGCTGGAAACATACCAAATGTGTTTAGCTAGTGTTTTCAATTTAACCTAGATAGCCAGCCCACGCGGTGCGAGCGGTCGCTGCCCTGTGTGCTCAGCGAATTCTGGTGCTGCGAAAATAGTCGATAATATTCGATAAATTCGATTATAAAAATGCTCGAAAACGGACAACCTACTCGAATAACTGTCGCGTTACCACCTTTTGTGTACCCAAGCACTTATTTGGGGGAGCAAACGTTTACCGAGCCAAGTACTAACGTCAGCCTCTCCTCGGTAATACCCAGCTGCTAACGTTAACGTCAGCTCTGAACGCCGGACTCACTGCGGACTCCTTGTAATTTGGCTCAGCTTGCGAGACTCACCGTTCCAGGCGACGGCAAGCAGTATGAGTTTTAACTAGCTACCAGATTTAGTCCCAATATGTTAGGAACGTCTTCGGGCTGGTAGTTAGTTAGTTATTTAGCGAGATAGCAGGCTCGCGGTTGCGTTTCTTACCGAGAATAAACGCGAGCGTGCCGGCTAGCTGTCCAGAGCTGAGGCACCAGCCGTTAAGCCGACGTGGCTGAGTTTATAACGCGGTTTTTAGAAACTTAAGAACCTTCAACACACCTTGTTCTCTGGCAACAGTTCACCAAAAAGTTGTTTTCATTATGAGACGACGGATAAAAAGACGTTGGTTCTGCTTTGGTGCACCGCTCACTGCTGTTCAGTCAGATCAGGGTTGCCGGATTGGTGAAGAATAAGTATTTAATGCAACTTGCTGTGAAATAATTATTTAACAGTCATGATTTTTGTTACCTTGCAGTATGTGAGTTAAGTTTTATTAAAAAAGGAAAATAAATATGAATGAATGAATGAATGAATGAATGAATGAATGAATGAATACTATGCAGTAGTGCACTTTAACTACAGGTGGCCACAAATTTAAATATTGAGGCCATATGGCCTGAGAAACTTAACTCCTGGCCTCAATATATTAATTAGTGACAATATATTAATTCTTGGCCACACCTTATCACCTTAGGAGCAACATACAATAGTGCAAAAACATAATAATAATAATAATAATAATAATTCTTACAATAGGCATACATTATTTTCTAAATCAGTTACTGAACTGAAACATGTCTTATAGAGCATTTGATAAAATTTTCAATAGAATATTCAAGAAGGAAAATATCCGATAGCTGCAGCCGTAGCACATTCACACCACCGTCACCTGAGTTGTGTGCGTTACTTTTACCCACACCACCTGGCAGTATCTGGTCTGTGCTTGGTTGGCGTGCTGTGTGTTTATTAGTGAAAAACACTTTGCTTTAAAAGGGCCCATACCATGCAAAAATGAATTCCACTCTATTTTATGAAGAAAAAAAAAGAAAAAGTAGTCTGAAGTAATATGTAAAAGGTTGTTTGCCTCCAGACCATTGACTCCAAAGTCTGTACAGTCCATACAGAAACCAAGCTGAGAAAAAACCAACCTGTTTTGAATCACCGTTTTTGTGATGTCACGAAAACCAACACATTTACATACATCCACCTATTCAGCCTACAGAAGTTTAGCTCCACCCACTCATGAGTAATAAGGAGTGTATCAGTCCAGACTGCTTTTTGAATAAGGCACAATACAGGGCAGCTAATCATAACAGAGCATATTTTCATATATCAGTATTAACGGCACACTTAATACTAAGTAGCACTGAACTAGGAAAGGGAATAGTACTACTTAAATAGTGGCTTCTGCATTAGACATTGCTTTATAGTGATATGCGTGACTGGTGCATGTTCATCATTTGCTAACATTAGAGCAGAACGGATGACATATTGCAGAGGGCTGGGCTAGGCCTGTGTGTGCATGAGAGTGAGACAAGAGACATGAGCTGGATAGTGAACGAGCTGTCAGAGAAAGAAAACTCTGCTTATGTATGCCGTAGCTGTGGCCAACAACAGCTGGAAGATAAAGCATCACAACTTGTGCCAAAACTGTGTCTCTTTTAATAGAGGCGCTACATTACAAACAGCAGGGCGAGACTGGACCACTTTCCTTCAAAAGTTCTGAAATGAAATGTAACTGAAAATCAAAAATTTGACAACACTGCTGGAAATGCGTCAGCTTTTTCACAGAGCTCAGAAAAAAACCCTGCACTCTGTAACCCTGTAGACGGGTTTATCAGTTTGGAACAGTAAGTGTCTGAGATACTGACTGTGTCTCTGTTATGGGTCTGTACAGTGCGCAGTGCTCCAGCAGCTGAACAGACTGTCTTTAAAAAAAACAAGGCTGCACCTCAGCAAATCACACAGGCAATCTGTGCATGCCGGCAGCAATTCTGCGTGTGCATTAAAGGGCTAAATTTGCAGCCCCGGGTCAGCGTGCTGGATCAGGCAGGTGGGGTGATGTGGTGGTGATGGTAGTTGGGGGTGGGGGGGGTTGAAAACAGCTCACAGATGAGAATGCAGAAAACTAAACAACACAGGCCTGACTTATACACAGACAATCAGTGTTTAAGGGGGTGGCCTGGATGACACTGCACATCAGCCACACTTAACCAGCCATGAACAGAACATCGACAGGAGGCTAACTAGCCAAAGTCCTGTTGTTGATATGAACAAATTTTGTTATGACAGTGGAAGAGAGATTTGTGTGCACTGAAACTTGAGTACTTGGTTAACCGTTCCAGCTGCAAGTACTTCAATACTGAAATCAATAATCGGGTACTCATTAAGCTCCATTATGGGAAGACAGGAAAATATACAGGCTAACATATCACTATGTTTTAACAGGAGTGTAAAGGTAACAGTTTTGGTCATATTCATTAGTAAAAAGTGTATTAAATTACACTGGCATTGTGTTGCATTTGCTACTATAAAACAAAGTGCCTTAAAAGAGAGCGTTGAACGTAGGGCTGAAGGTGAGCCTTTTAAAGTGATAACTCTGGTGTTAACAATGTGTCCTTGGCA